CACATTAATTGAGCCAAACGGTACCTACCATCATAAAGAAAGACAATGAAGACAAATGAAACAAACTTATGAGTTGGACTCAAAGTGTTACAATAATCATCTTCTCCAAATTAATATAAAAGAAGATTCACTCAAGAAAGATAGAAAGATTCATCATATAAGAGACACTAATTTACATAAGTGATACATACATTTTGTGCAAAAACATACTCTCTGTAAATCTATTCTTTTGTGTAAACATTCATTGCTTTGTACTGGTTTTATAACATTTAAGTGAGATGAATACAAAACTTGTATAACTTTCATAACCATTGTTATAAGGTTGAGCCTGGAAAGGCTTGTCTGAAAAAGAATATTTATTTAAGCCTAGATAGGCTTGACTATAAAGGAATACTTGGTTGTTAATCCTTTAGAGACTTGTTGTTAAAAGAATACTTGGATAGTTGCTTAAAGAGACAAGTCAAAAAATACTTGGGGTTGAGTCAAAAGTGGCTTACTGAAAGAATACTTGTATCTTTATTTAAATATAGTGGAACTCAATCTGATTGGATTAAGAACTGGACGTAGTCTCCATGATTAAGACGAACCAATCTAAAAAATAACCTATGTTTCATCTGACTACTCTTTGTACTCCATCTGACTAGAGATATTACTTCACTACGAAAATCATGTGAGTTTTTGATACACATTATTCAACCTCCCTTCTAGTGTTTATTTTTTCTCCACACACACACACACATATATGTATATATGTGGAGAGAGAGAGAGAGGGGAGATATCCACTTACTACAAAAGTAAGTTTACTTGGACTTACTCTACTCAATAATTCAATTTTATTTTATCAAATTTCAACAATCCAATTATTGAATTAAAGGTTCTTAATGGGTAGATCAATTAAACTTGCAATTTAAAAAAAAAATTGAAAACTATTTGATATTTTGTTTCATTAATTCAAATCAACATATAAAATATTTTTATATTTATCCATAAATTTGAATTAATGAAATGGAGTATCAAATAGTTTTTAAATTTTTAAAAAATCTGCATACTTGATCTATGCTTTAAGAACTTTTAATTTAACGATTGAATTATTAAAATTTAATATAAAATTTAAGTTATTGAGTGTAGTAAGTCTAAGCAAAACTTACTCTTGGATATATATATATATATATATATATATATATATATATATATATATAGAGAGAGAGAGAGAGAGAGAGAGAGAGAGAGATGAGAATTGTAGGCGTATACATGTAGTATTTATATTGGATTTCAACACTTTTAGTAACAAAGACATGAAATTTTCACATTTTATGATAGGCTGTCCTCGTTAGTTTTGACCTACTAATTGATTAAACAAAACACAACAACCATTGATCAATAATTGATTAGAAGCTTTGGTGATATACAAACATGGAGTGACTCTCGTGAGATGGTTAAACTAGATCAATGGGGTGTGTGTGTGTGACTCTCTTGAAATGGTTAAACCATATCAATGGTGTGTGTGTGTCTATATGTTTTAATTTTATTAATTAAATGAATATTTTTTTGATGTGTTGTTTTAATGCTTTAAAGCTTTAAGGATTAAGGAATCCTTATAAGTTTTGTTGTTTGAAGGTTGTTTTGAATTGAGGTCAAAGTTGACCAAATTTAGGGAAAGGTACACATGATTTTCTTAAAATTTGAACTTTATAAGTTTATTCCTTCAAAAAAATTAGAGGTTTTAAAGAGATAGTCTCTAAAACAATATGAGATCTTGTTTCTTCTAACATCATATATGAGAGCCCTAATCCATCCCCAGAGCAAATATTTGAGTTGCGGTGTTGTGATTTGAAGCCTAGAAGCTGAGAATTGACCATAGTTTGAGTTACTATATGGTGAGAGCTCGAAGGACCTTGTTCTTCATCGTTCTTCCTCCTCTTCCCCTTTTCTTAAAGAATTGAGGTATGAGAAACTTGTAGATTAGTCTTTTTTGTGTTGTATGTGTTGATTTATCCATCGATGGCTTTGATGTTGAATTTGAGAAGTGAAAGCCTTGGTACTCTAGGACTTTAGTTGTACATGGTGGAAGGGAAGGAGAATTCATGATCTTGGATCATGTTGTGATTGCATGTTCTTTATTTTGCTGAATTTGAGTTGTTTACGATGTATAAATGTTGACTTGAAGATTTACATGCTAAGTTGGTATAGACTGATGAATATTGAATGTGTTGAGAGAAGATGTATTTTCTCAAATTGATGAACTTGGTTCTTGAGTTGGGTTTCTACCTGAGTGTCCTCGTTTAAAGTGAGAACTTACTCTTTAGCTTGGCTTGCTTGGAATGCTCATTGGTCACTTTGAGCGAATTTCGCTTACCCAAAGAGAGAACTCACTCGCTTAAGCGAATGAATCGCATCTCCTAGGGGTGCTATGTATCTGAGTTCGCTCAAAGCAAGTTGTAAGTGCTTGCTCGTTTTTAACTAAATCATATATCTAATTTTATATTATAAAAATTTATATTTTAAAATGATTATATATAAGGACTCATATTAATAAGTCGTTAGCTTGAGTAGTACTGACTTATTTCCCTTAAACAAGATATTAATAATAGTTAGGTTCTTCAACAAATATTAGTAATTAGCGAAGTCAATTAATATTTCAAAACACTAACATGATTATCGAAAAAATATGAGTCTATATTTATCATTTTGTCTAGGACTTATAAAATGTTAAGATTGACCTTGATCACAACCACAACTCCTACTTATCACCATGTGGTAGGGTCAACTGTAACGTAGTTAGTACCCTAGAACAGACCATTCCCAAATTGAAATGGGTCGTTTCAAACTTTTAAAACAAGAGTGATTTAGTTGCCTAGAACGGGTCATTTCCAAACAGAAATGGGCCGTTCTAAACTATTAAATAGGCTTATAAATCCTTGTTGGGAACGGGCCGTCCAAACAAGGTCTTTGTGAGTAAAATGCAACCCTAGAACGGCCCGTTCTGGTTTGAAAATGGATCGTTCTGCAAGTAAATTTTACACATGACGTTTGAGTGCAGAACAGGCTGTTCCGGATTTGCAACGCTAATTTAAGAGTTCTTTGTTACATTTATAGTAAACTTTTAATTACGATAATTTATCATTTTTTTAATCTTAATTTAAGAGTTCTTTTATGTTTTTATGTAAACAGATATTTTACTAGAGTTGCTCTCATATATAAATGTTACATGACAATGCTATATTTATTCTTGATATATTTGTTTAAATAAAGTTAAACTTTATTTTATTTTTAAAATTTGTAGATAACATAATTATAATAATTAAGATGATTAAATTTAGTTTATTTTAATATAAACCAATTATGGACATTATGAATAACATATTAAAATTCTTTTTGATTTTATTTAATTAGAGATTATTTCTATTTATATACCATCAATTCAAAATCAAAGGTCTTTCTATATAATCATTTTCTCTAATATACATAAAATTTATATTGAAGCACTCTTCAACGAAGTTATGTTCGGTTCAATCTTAAATATTTTGACTATAAAATTAAAGGTCTTTTTTATATTTAATTTAATTTCTCTTATCCTATATTTCTCTTATTATTAATAAATAAGGATCATTTTTAAATTTTTCTATTTATGTTTATAGATATAATCTCTCAATTCTTTTTATATTCTCTTAATCAGGATCTCTATAAAAATGACCATCTCCAATACAAAGCATTTGTAGTGTATCTTATTTTACTTTAAATGAGATTCATCATGTCTCGTCATTTTTAAGCAATTTACACTATATATTTACAAATTTTATTCCAACGGTGGGATCTTATAGGTCTTGGTAGAAAAGTTATATATAGAGAGAAAAATCCACTTACTCCAAAAGAAATTTTTTTATAGATCTACTTTACTCAATAACTCATGTTCTAAATTAAATTTTAATAATTTAATTACTAATTAAAATTTCTTAATATATAAATCAAGTTTACAAATTTTTAAAAATTAAAATCATATAATACTTTGTTATATAAATTCAAATCAACATATAAAATACTTTTTAAATTGATGTATAATTAATGTAATAAATTAGTTATCTGTCAATTGGAATTAAAGAAAAAAAGTATCAAATAGTTTTTAATTTTTTTAAATTTTTTTGTAAACTTGATTTACGTATTAAGAACTTTTAAGTCAACAGTTAGATTGTTGAAATTTGATATAAAACATAAATTATTAAGTGAAGTAAGCTTATGTAGACTTATTAAGCAAATCCCTCGTCAATATATATATATATATAAGAAGCGATCCATTTACTCTAATCGTAAAGTCATAGTAGACTTATCTTATTCAAAAATTCATGTTTTATATTAAATTTTAATGATATAACCATTAAATTAAAATTTTTAATATATCGATCAAGTTTACAATTTATTTTTTAAATTTGAAAATTGTTAAGTTAAAAGACCATCTTAAATTTCTTAAACTTTCAAATTTTAATGATAACGAACAAAACATTTTTCTAAAAGAAAAATATTTTTGCAAAATACAAATAAAACAAAACATAAGACACAAGAATCTTACTTCATAAAATCTTAAATGTGTATCATTTATCATTAGTAATAACTACTTGATACATAGCTAATTAGTTCTTTAACAGATTAAATAAAAAAATCATTAGAACTTATAAATTTGTCAAAATGAATGAAGTTATGCACGATATCCGAGAAATTTGATGTATAACAAGCATTAGTATATAAACTGATCTACCAAATCATACGTAATAAAAGGAAAGGAAAAAAAAAAAAAAAGGAAGAAAAAAAGATGACCCAATACAAATACAATTTACAGCCATTGGTACTACTACAATACTACTAGTTTATTCGCATTAATATCAATGAATGAGCCACTTATTTTATCTCAAAATAAAAACGGTATGAATTTGGGAAGACCTGGTTTTTCCGTCTTCGTCAACGTCTACTTGAACGAAATTAAGATACAACCAACACCTACACACAAAACACAGGATTGATATTGATTAATTGAAAGCAAACATGACTTGAGCTATGCCAAGACGCAAAACAAAACATTATTGGAAGATAAAAGCAACTGATACAATCACTCTACACATCACACACTGCAAATTTGTGAAAATACTGCATGTAACTAGTCTAGGACTCGCTGACAAAAGAAGCAACTAATTTTTTTCTTTTCTTTTTATAAGTACAAATAAGAAAGAAATAACTACAAGCCAATGGCTGCAAAAACAGTCTGGGCAACGGTGAGAAAAAGAAGCACGACCGCGGCGATTACTCCGATAGTTTTCCACACTGTGGGAGTGTGGTCGCGTTTCAAAGTAGCAAACATTTCCCTGAGCTCGTACTTTGCGTTTATCATTACTCGTTTGAGTTTATGCCAAAGCCAAAATAATTTAAAGTTTATTCTGTGATCCGGATTTTCCTTTAAGGTCTGAATCATCTCATCGTACTTGTCGACCATATTAGTATCAATCTGAATTCCACGGGCGAGTGAACGAAAGAAATTCATCAAGTCCTCATTGCTCCACTGGGTTTCTAAAACATCACTTTTGTAAAGCAGTTTGATATCGTGCTCACAGCAAACCAAACCTCTGAGCGACACAGCAATCTCGCTGAATCTGCAGCTAGTCCGGTCATGTTTTCCACCGACGTATTTTTCATGCGTAATTCTGTTCTGCTCCCATGCAACGAAATTCCGCCATTCAATTTCCTTTTCTTCAGTGATGTTCAGACGCTGTATCTCCAAGGTTCCCTTTTTGAGAAGTTTGTAACAACCAAATATAGCGCCCTCATTCTCAAAATCAAAGCTATGATCTTCAGCCCGCGTAATTTTAATCCCGTCGGATAAGAACCTATATGCACAGCATTTCAACTTCAAATGATGCTTGCTTTCCGGAGCAATTCTATTTCCATCTTCATTCTTTGTTTCGAAACTGTGCACGGTGTCGAGTAAGTGTGCTGCATTAGGGCAATCTGTCACATTAACGGAATGAGTACAGCCAAAGAGAAACAGGGCAAGGGCGTTGATGATTTTTCGAACATGTTTTAACCCATCACTGTCAATCTCAGCTGGGACAAAAAGTATATGGAAGAGCAAAATGAGAACGAAGAGAGGTATCTGGTTTCCGAGTAATTTCAAATCCAAAAGGACCTCACTCATTTTTCTTACATCGGCTAAGGAGTGTTTGAACTCGTGGCTCTTTATTTGAAGAGGTACGCCTGAGAGGCTTTGTAAAGCTCTAAAATCATTATCTGATTCCTCGGCTTTGGTGATGAGAAGCTCAAGCAGAAAACAGCCATCGAGTAACATGATTTTGGCGAGGTCGTAGTTGTTGAATTCGATGTCGTCCACGTAGAATGTTCGGACTAACATGTCTAAATGAAGAATGATTTTGCTGCATTCGTCGAAGGATCCAAGTGGGTCTGTGGTTCGATGAAATAAAGAGTGCATGAAACGGTATTTGATCTCTTCCATGTGTAGCAGGTCCCTTTTGTTTCCCTTGTAGAGGGGTCCTATGGATACCACCTTTGGCTTGTAAGGTTCAGATTCCTTTTCCGATTTTCGAAACTGTTCCGGAACTCCTGAAATGCTACATGCTTTCACACCGAGAGCTTCATCTCGCAGAAACCCCAACAACAATTTCATAGAAGAAACCCATCCACCCAATTTGGAATCGGATTCACTGGTTCCAGATCCGGACATAGCCTAGCCTGCTGGAAAGGAAAAAAAAATACACAATCAAACAACTCCGGAAAGAATGAAAAGAATTAAGGGGGGAAAAATCCGGAAAGATACAAAGAGTCACCGAAAAATATGAATATGATCACTCTCAAAATTCTCAATGGAACTTTTGTAACTCTTCAAATGTGGGAAGAAGAGACAATTGTGTTTGTTGATAAATTAGGAACCATAACTAAGATTCTTAATTTATATGCTCCACTCTAAATAATGCTCCACCGAAAATCATATCTCACAAGTCTAATTAGTCCTTAATTATAATTTTTCAAATACTGTATGAATTATATCAATAAAAAAAAAATCACCACCATATTCTCGTTATTTTAAAGTGAGTTTGTACTGAAGAAAATTTGCGACCGAAAAGTTGTCGGTTCCAGTAATGAAATATCTTGAAAGATTTAATATGTAATCGGTTATCAACATCAAACCTATCAAAAATGCGTGACCAAGGATAATTCGGCCATGGTCACATCTCTTATCACAATTATTGTAAGTAGTAACTTTCAACTATTACAAGACAAAGGCTCTTGAATGTGGTTAATGGTCAAATCCTCGATGTAACATTCATTACCTATAAATATAAGGTATTAACATATATACAATATATATTTAATCTTTGATTACTTGTTAACCTTGGCATCAAAGCCCCTTTTACAGATATAAATTACCTAACACTTGGAAGTCGAGGACTGACGACTTCTAGTCAAAGACCTCTTGCACTCACTTTCTAACAAGAACATTTGGTAGGATTGTAGAAAATTTTTCCTATGGATTCTACTAAATTGAAACAATGGTTGGAATAAAAGCTTCACCATACAGGAATTATGGAATGTCAGATAACACTCAAGTCTTAATCGAGTTACAACAAAATTACATTAATGGAAAACACAAAGTGAACAACAACAATAGTATCGTGAGGAGGAAATGGCCCTTCTCTGACAATAAAATTCCGATCTGCAACAATTACTCAAACAATTACAATCCAATACTAAAATGCTGGAAGCCAAATTCCTCTAATTCTTTAACGGATTCAATTTTTCTTTTTGGAATGCCATCAACTCAAGCTACATTATCTAGGAAAATTTGGCCTTCTCATACATCCAGGCCAAGTGAGACTTCAACGCCAAACTCTCGAGAAGTTTGGACATCGGCACCTCATTTCACTATGGTGATGAAAGAATTTAGGAAGCACCCATTTATTGATGAAATCATGGAAATTCCCCTTCCAAGGGGATGGAGGAATATTCGGGGCTTGATAAATATGATGGAACCTTTGGCCTTGATGATCATGTGTTAACTTGTATGTTTCTCAAGTTAGCATGCTCACCAAAGTGGATGTCGATCATATGTACCATCTATTTTCCACCTCATTAAAAGGAGAAACTATAAGGTGATTCACTCATCTTCCCCTTGTTTGGTCAATTCTTTCTAAGTGCTTATCTCCAAACTTACCACATAGTTTTGCATTAGCCAACCTCATGCTATGACCTTGGCTGCCCTTATCAACATTAAGCAAGGTAAGGATAAATCTCTCAAAGCCTTCATGGATAGGTTTGGAAAAGTTTCTTTTGAAATTCCTAATTTAGCCGAGGAGGTCGCCTTACATCAGATGTTAACATCTCTAAAGTCGAATGCTTTCTTGGATAGTTTGTACTAGAAGTCAACTTCATCCATGGAAGATCTTTGTAGAATAGCTACAAAGTATATGTAGATGGAGGAACTTGTTGAATTTCAAAAACATTTTGATGAAGATCAAGGAAAGGCAAAAGTAGAATCTCGGGGAGATAAAAAGGAAAGAGATCGGTCTTAATGTACTCCCTTGAATGATAATTTCTCTCTGATACTTGATGAAGCCCTAAATAGTGACTTGATCAACTTGTCGACTTCTCAGGAGAGTGAGTTGATACCTATAGGTATGTAGACCTATTAACTATCTTTGATGATGGTGAGAAGAGGAGAAGGACAATTAGTATATGCAATATATTGGTCAATGCCAACACATCCTACAATGCTTTGTTAGGTTGATCTTCTCTTAATGAGTTGGGTGTTATTATTTCAACTTTGGATTTAGCTATGAAATTTTCCTTGTCAATGGGAAGAATAATGGCAATTCTTGTCGAATAGAAGACGACACGAGAATGTTATGTGACAAGTTTGAGGATTACACCTCTGGTCAGTCAAGTTGAAACTAACACATGATTTATTTGGATTGGTGAACCCTCCTCTTTGACAAGTAATATGATGGAAACCTTAAAAGAGACTAGATTGATGCATCTTCTCCTTCATGCTTCTTGAATGGATCTTTCATGTCTTGGACTCCTTCAAACTTCTTCAATGACTTTCATTAATGTTAGAAGTCATTTCTAACACACAATAGAAGATAAGAACTCTCTTAGGTGATGCCACACTCTTAAAGAGTGATAAGTCTCTTCAATTTTTCACCACACGTAAGAGAGGATAAGAGAAATGGAAGAATTTCAAAGAAAGAAAGAAAAAAGCTCAAAATCCTAGACAGCCTTCCTAAGGTCTCAGAATCAAAAGCCACTACCATCTTTGAAGCTCAAGATTTAAAGGTTTTCACTCTTGATGAACTTCTTGGAGCATTTCGTGTTCATGAGGTTCATTTGAATAGTAGAAATCAACCCAAGGCAAAAGACAATATTGCCTTGAAAAACAATGAAACAAGCACAAGAAAAGAAAGAGAAAAAATGCTAAAAGTTGAATCTAGCTCAAACAAGTCAGATGATAGCTCATAAGATTCAACAAATGATGAAATCTCCCATATGTCCAAGAAATTCAAAAATATGCTAAAAAAAGGGAAAGATTGAAGAACCTACATAAGAAGCAATAAAAATAGAGAAAAATCAGCAAATCAAAGGCCAAGGATATCGTCTACTTCAAATGCAAGAAGCCTGGACACCTAAGAGAAGATTGTCCACTATACTTAGGAATAGGTGGTCAAGGAAGACTAAAAGGAGTTTGGTGGACACTTGGAAGGATCTTGACAATGAAAGTAGCATTTCAAATGAAGAAGTTGTTAACATTTGTCTTATGGTAGACGCTAAGTCAAAGCAGTTGATATAGAGGTAAATTCTGACTCTAGCTCTTATTCATCTGAATCTGACAATGATGAAATGTCTTTTGAGACTCTCTTAGCTAATTTCCACATGATTTCTCTTGAGTACAAGAAGCTAAAAGAAAAATATAAAGCTTTGAAAAAAGAGAATATCTTAAACCCAAAAGAAAAGTGTTAAATGATGCTGAAGAGATATTATGTCTCAAAATCAAGATCACTAGTTTTGTTCCTCTTGATGTAGAAGTCTTAAAAAATGAAAATGTGCTACTGAGGAAGGACTTAACTAAGTTTGTTAATGGATCCATGAAACTAAACCTTTTGTTAAAACATAGAAGGATTCCATCTGACAAAACTAGTATTGGTTTTGACTCAAGTCTCAAGAATTCTTAGACCAAATCCAAAGTTTTTTCTCACAAAGCCAGTGGATATAAATATAAAAATTCAGCAAGAGAAAAACTAAGAGAAATGGAACTAACAAGAAAGAATCCAAGAGAATATGGGTACCAAAATCTCAAATAGTCTTTGTTTTAGATATCTTTGGTAGGAAAGCCAAAGGATTCACACTGGTACCGGACAGTGGATGCTCATGACATATAATAGGATAAAGGTCTATGTTCCTAGACCTGTAGCCACATGAGGGATCTATCTCCTTTAGAAGTGGAAAAGGAAAGATCAAAGGTATAGGTAAGATAAGTAAAAATATATACACCTATTGTGTCTAATGTTCTTTATGTAAAAGGATAGAAGTATAATCTACTTAACATAAGTCAATTTTGTGATAGTCGATATATTGTGTCTTTTGATAAAGATTCATGCATAGTCAGACAAAGTGATGTGTCTATACTTTTTACTGCTCAGAGAAAGTATAATCTTTATGAGATTGACGTAACTAGTTTAAGTAAATAGAATGTAACATGTCTAGTTTCAAAAGAAGATGAGAAATTTATTTAGCACAAAAATCTTGAGCATGTCAACATGGAACACATCTCAAAAAATATCCAAAAGAGGTTTAGTAAGAGGACTGCCTGAAATTTCTTAGAAAACTCATCTTCTTTGTGAGACTTGTCAGAGAAAGAAACAAACGAAATCATCTTTTAAAGCAAAAAGAGAAGTTTCCACCTCTAGACCACTAGAATTGTTACATATGGATATGAAGTGAGTTAACAAACCACTTGTAACATTATTAAGACAAAAAGAGGATGAGGGAGATCATGCATCCATGAAAGTAACTACTTGAATTAAAGTTGGGTTTGACATTAAGATCTTGCAAGATTATACTACATTTCTTTTGCTCATACCAAATCTTAATATGAATTAGCGAATTTCTAATTTATAACCTTTATAGTGTCTTATTCCATGACTCAAAAATTATACTCATGACACAATCCATATTCATGTGTTTGTAATAGCTAGCTAAGATAAAATCGTACCTTGAGACATTTCCTTGAAAGTTGAGGAGAAACAGGGGCAAGGCCTACTATTGTGGAATGTTTTACTTAAAAGGTTAAGAGCATTATTGGAACATTTTGATACGGAAAAAATTTGAGAACTAATTTTCTTTTAGGGGAAGAGAGTTGTAACATCTCATTTTTTTTTAAAAAAATAGTAAATAAATTAGAATAAGAGAAATATTTTCTATAATAAAATAAAATGTGGAGAGGTTAAACAAAAGGTTTTGGGCTAGATTATAGACTTAACCAAGGGACTAATTAAAAGAAGAAAAGGGAAGGGATTAGGTTATTGCATGTCTTTTGAAACTTAGAGCACTTGTAGGAAGAAACCTACTGGAGGCTACCAAAAAGACAAATTAGTAGCCAAAGCTACAAGAAGTGCATTATTTTGCAAGATTGTCACTCTAGGTAGAGAAAGTGTGATTGTCAAATCTATTATGCATATATGAAGTATAAGGGTAGACAGTCGCTTCCTAAACCATGTAGGTTGAATTTTTTCTATGTGACTACTTATGAATGACTTGATGCTTTATCCTCTTATATATTATATGAATTTGTGTGCTAATTAACATTAGATTGAGTTGTTAGTATAAATTGATGTATTTTTAGATTAGTATATATTGCGTATGAACTCAAGATATTTGATAGATTGAATGAGTTGCATAATTTGATGATAAAATTAAAATAATTGATGTGTTTGTATGAAAGTTTGAGAAAAGGATAATTACTTAAATAATTATTTTTTACATTTTAAAGGATAATATAGGAGTCAAGAGGA